AAGGGATGCGATCCTCAAAATGCATGTGGTCATGTGTCTAAGGAAATGAATCTATACCTAAGCATTTTGGAATCTATACCTAAGCATTTTGGAGTGCTTCCAAAATGCAGTGCTACTTTGATTCCTATTCTTAACTTGCCCCCATGACACAAACTGGTTATTGATGCTATGTAAAAAAGCTATTTATTGATTTGAGAGACAGCATGCACAAGACAGAGAGTGCCAGCAGAGCTAGGGAAAGAGGGAGAGAGAGAGAACCTCAAGCAGCCTCCCCACTGAGTGCAGAGCCTGCATTGGGCTCAATCTCAGGACCCTGAGATGATGACCTGAGCCAAAATCAAGAGTCAATGCTTGGAAAAAAATTAAAAAAAAAAAAAAAAAAAAAAGAGTCAATGCTTGGGGTAGCCCGGGGGCTCAGCAGTTTAGCGCTGCCTTCAGCCCAGGGCCTGATCCTGCAGACCTGGGATTGAGTCCCACGTCGGGCTCCCTGCATGGAGCCTGCTTCTCCCTCTGCCTGTGTCTGTGCCTCCCTCTCTCTCTCTCTCTCTCTCTCTGTGTGTGTGTGTGTCTCTCATGAATAAATAAATAAAATCTTAAAAAAAAAAAAAGTCAATGCTTAACAGACTGAGCCACCCAAGCGCCCCCTATTGATTTTTTTAAAGTATTTTTTGGTTCTGGCTATTATTTTTTAAATTTTATATTAATTTAACGGCTTTTCTTAGGTTTTTCCAGGAGGAAGCTTATAGCTTCTTCTCTCTCCCTTCCAATATCCATGCTTCTTACATCTTTCTGTTACCCTGGTATTGGTTAGAACTCCCAGAACCAAGTCGAATAACAGTGATGATAGCTGGAAACCTAATTATGTCCTTGACTTTAATGGGAATATCCATTATTTTACTGTTAAGCATGACATGTTCAAGTATGACAAGTCTTACTGTTTGTTTCAGGGGGCTATACTTTATTGGGAGGGTTTAAAAAAAAAACTCAGTAATGAATACTGAATTGTATCAAAGACTCATTTAGCCTCTGTTTATGTTTTCCTTTGACTTAATAATATAAACTGAATATATTTCTTAATGTGAAACCATCCTTATACCCTTGAAATAAATTTTATTTGTGCATAATGTATTATTCAAATAATACACTACTAGATTCAATTTGATGACTCTAGCATTTATTTTCATAAGTGATGTTGCACTACATTTTTTTGTATTTGCTATACTTTTCAAATTATGGAATCAAGATCATTCTAGCTCCATTAAATGAACAGGGTGGGTTTTCTATGCCTTAGAATATATAAAAGGTATAAGAATCATCTGTCTCTCAAAGGTTTGACAGAACTTGGCTGCAAATCTATTCTGGGTCCATCTCTATTTGAGTAAGCAATATTATTTTCCATTTTTACAAATGGCTATATTGGTTCTTTTAGATTTTTTTCTTTTTTTTTTTAAAGATTTTATCCATTCATTCATGAGAGACACAGAGCGAGGCAGAGACACAGGTAGAGAGAGTAGCAGGCTCTATGCAGGGAGCCCGATACGGGACTCAGTCTCAGACCTCAGGATCACACTCTGAGCCAGATAGGCACTCAACCACTGAGCCACCCAGGCATCCCATTTTTTTCTCTTTTAAATAAATCTTAGTAATTTGTAATTTCCGGGGATCCCTGGGTGGCTCAGCTGTTTAGCGTCTGCCTTTGGCCCAGGGCATGATCCTGAAGTCCTGGGATCAAGTCCCACATCGGGCTTCCTGCATGGAGCCTGCTTCTCCCTCTGTCTGTGTCTCTGCCTCTCTCTCTCTCTCTCTCTCTCTCTCTGTCTCTCGTAAATAAATAAATAAATAAAATCTTAAAAATGAAATAAAAATAAAAAATTTGTAATTGCCCAATCCAGAAAAACTACTAGTGGAGAGTTGACAATTTTATCCATCTGAACACTCCTGAAAAGAGATTATATCCTGTTTTCTTTTATTACTAATGTAGTACATTTGATATTTCTCTCCAACTTTAGACTTTTTTATTGATTTGATTTTGTAGAGTTTTATCTATTTTCTATGCTTTCCAGCTCTAGGATGTATTTTTCAATTCTGCTCTTTTTCTGTTTTCTAATACATAATTTTCTGTTAACTATATTAATTTATTTACTCAATTTTTAAATACTTTATTATGGAAGATTTCAACCTTATAGACAACTTGAAACTGAAAATCCGTATATTCGCCATTGAGGTTCTACAATAAATGTTTTAGTATATTTGCTTTATCACTATTTATTCATCTTTCTATCCATCTTATTTTTTTGTGTTTCAAAGTAAGTTGCAATCATCAATACATTTTGCCCCCAAACATTTCCTCATTCATTCACTAACTATAGTTCAATATTTATGGTTCTTTTCTTTATTTTTTGTAATTTGTCTAATTCCTTTCATCCAATGCTTAGTTTATTTTTTTTTTTTCTTTTAAAATAAGTATATGGGGCACCTGGGTAGCACAGTAGGTTAAGTGTCTGACTCTTGGTTTTGGCTCAGGTCATCATCTCAGAGTCCTGGGATGGAGCCCCAAGTCGGGCTCCATGTTCAATGTGGAGTGTTCTTGAGATTCCCTCTCTCCCTCTCCCTGCCCTCTCACTCGCTGCCTCTCTATATATACATTAAATAAGTAAATAAAATATTTTTAAAATAAATAGTATAATAATATTTAAAATTTATTGAGCATCAGCCATATTTCAGGCCATCTTAGGGGCATTTTTAAATCAAAGATCAAGGGATAGCCTTCTCTTTCCAGACCCCAAATTAGGTAATAGATTGTTTCTATAACTTAGTAAATGTAAGGTTCAAAATTCTAAGAAACATGGTTAAGTCAGCTTGGGCTGCTCTAACAACCTACCATCAACTGGGTGGCTTATAAACAACAGAAACCTATTTCTCACAGTTCTGGGTGCTGGAAGTCTAAGATCAGGATGCTAGTAGGTTGAGTTCTGAGAAGGGCCCTCTTCTGAGTTCAGTCTGACTTCTAGTTTTATGTTCACATGGCAGAAGGGAAGAGGGAACTCTCTCAGTTCTCTTACAAGGGCACAAGTCCCATTCATGAGGATGTCCCACCTCATGACCTAAGATCGTCCAAAGGCCCATCTCCAAATACTGTCACACTGGAGACTAGATTTCAACATACAAATTTTAGAGGGACACAAGCATTCAATCTATAACAATACAGATTATCAGTAAGAAGGGATTTTCCTTAAAGTCCCTTTATTTTCAAAGGATTAAGTAATAGTAAGTCACTATATATTTTTTCTTCACCCTTTGATGGTGAAGTTTCTCTTCTTACTGGTTTTCAGATGAGGTCTCTCTCCTAGGAAGGGAGGACAATAAGAGGCTCATCTACCATTTAGCTCTATGGATATGATGTGGTGACTATTTCTCTCCCTTCTACCTTCCTACTTTCCTCTTATCCAACATTGACAGTGATGTCATCTAACAACAGCTTTTCTTTCTCATTTGGAGCATTGAGAGATCAACTTGGTCTGTATGTTATCAGGAATACTATCCTGCAAATCAGCAAAATATAAAATCTAAGAAGACACTCCATGCTCAGTTACATCTTACATCTATTATCTCATTGGACCAACACAGCCTGAGCCTTGTGCATTATACTCTTCTATTGACAGTTCCTACTGGAAGAATAGTCATGTGACAAGTGGCCAAGAATGACCAAAAGTTTCTTGGACCACTTTCTCCAGATTGTCCAAGGATTCCTTTTACACAGGCATAGTACTAAGTGCTTTAAAGGAATTATCTCACACAATTCTCACAACCCCTCTATGGAGCAAATACAGTTGACCTTGAACAACACAGGTTTGAACTGAGTGGATTCTCTTACACATGGATTTTTTTTATATATAAATAAGGAAGAGTACAATAAATGTATTTTCTCTTCTTTTTTTTTTTAAGATTTTTCTTATTTATTCATAAGAGACACAGAGAGAGAGAGACAGAGAGAGAGACAGAGAGAGGCAGAGACACAGGCAGAGGGGAAGCAGGCTCCATGCAGGGAGCCAGACGTGGGATTTGGTTCCGGGTCTCCAGGATCACGCCCTGGGCCAAAGGCAGCGCTAAACCGCTGAGCCATCCAGGCTGCCCTGTATTTTCTCTTTATGATTTTCTTAATAATATTTTCTCTTTTCCAGCTTACCTTACAGTATATAGTACATGATATATAAAATGTGTGTTAATCGACTATGTTATTAGTAAGACTTCTGGCCAATGGTAGGCTATTAGTTAAGTTTTCAAAGCATCAAAAGTTATACACAGATTTTTGACTGCATGGGGATGGCCAGTGCCTCTAACTACCACGTTGTTCAAAGATAAACTGTAATATTATTAACACTATTTATAGTTGATGCAATTAAGCCTTGAGATTAAAGAATTTCTCCAAGGCTGGTAAGTAGCAGAGCAGGGACATTTTGAACCTAAGTCTAACTAAAAGCTTTTGCTCATATTATTATACTGTGTATTTTCCTTTAAGTATAACTTTGGCTGCATCCCATATATTTTCTAACAACAGTAATAAAGAGAGTATAACAGGATAAAATAAGGAGATTTTTCTGCCAAGGTTTTTAATTTCTAGTTTCTATGGCTTTCTACCCATTGAGCTACTACAGTGAAGTTTTTGTTCTAAAAACCTCTGCAGAACAAGAGCCAAAGCCTGTAGGGCTTAAAGCATAGTTTGAATCTTAAAATACGGGGAAGACTTGATAACAATGTAAGAGCTTAGAATGAGAAGGGCTGAGTCATGGGATGAGGCACATATTGGGGAAAGAGATTTTAGGACAAAAACAAAATGCCTTTTTCTGAAAAGGGAGATCTGGTCGACATTTGCTGAGTTTAGGCTGCTCAGTTTGTGGAGAAGTCTATATCTGAGTGTGAAAGATCTTGTACCTAACTACAGAAGCTGCAAGGGGGTAGACATTCATTTCTCTATTTTCTTTCTGAAAACTTGTGTGAAGGTATGAGACCCTGGCTCCACCAAACAGATGCTCCTGCCAAGAATCTGAGTCTGGAGAAGTTGACCCAGAAATGTGGAGAGAACCAGGAAAGATTCTGGATTGGTTGAGTATTAATCCACAAGAGACTACAGTAGATGTGACTAAGTTTCCTTCACTGTTCAAGCTTAAGTTTTCTGCCATCACTTGAATTTGGACTTGATCTACACAGAGAAACAGAGTTCCCTTTTTACATATCTAAATTGTGATTGGAAAATGTTACACACGGTATAAACAGTGACATTTAAAAAGTGCTAAATCGGGCAGCTTGGGTGGCTCAGTGGTTTAGCGCCACCTTCCGCCCAGGGCGTGATCCTGGAGACCCGGATCTAGTCCCACGTCAGGCTCCTTGCAGGGAGCCTGCTCCTCCCTTTGCCTGTATCTCTGCCTCTCTCTCTCTCTCTCTCTCTCTCTCTCTCTCTCTCTCTCTCTGTCTATCATAAATAAAATATAAAATATAAAATAAAATAAAATAAAATAAATAAAATAAATAAATAAATAAAATAATAAAATAAAATAAATAAAAAATAAAAAGTGCTAAATGTCATCTCATGTAATCAGGAAAAAATCCTCTAAGTATTACTATCTTTATATCAACACCTGGATCCGAATCACAGTCACTGGGCAGCAAAGCCAGAACTTGGACGAGGGCCACATGACTTCATGTCCATGCCCCACATTCTTAAACACTATAGTTAGTATTCTCATTGTCATTCATCTCTGAACATCTGCTTTGATTTTGCCTTTCACTGCTCTAGGAGGAGCCTTTAAAAAATTTATAAATGGTTCAAAATTTTTCAGTTAACCTTTTGTTACTAAGTTTTAGTTTTATTACATCATGCTCAGAAAATTTAACTAAATGGTTCTACTTTCAGGAATTTATCATGGTTTACTTTAGGCCTACTATTGGGATCAATTTTTGTATTTGTTACCTAGAAATTGGAAAATAAAGTTATCATGTTTAAGTGGTCTTTAACACAAATTAAAAAGCAGATTCTGTCAGCCTGGATAAAAAGAAACACCCAACTACATCTTGTCAACTACAGCTGCCCATTTTTAATGTGATGAAACAGATTGACTAGAAGTTACAGAACGAAGTAGTGGTAAACATTTCTATAGTACTTATTCTGTGTCAAGAGTGATTCTGCGGGGGACACCTGGGTCACTTAGTGGTTGAGCATCTGCCTTCTACTCAGGGCGTGATCCCAGGGCCCTGGGATCAAGTCCCACATCGGGCTCCCCATAGGGAGCCTGCTTCTCCCTCTGCCTGTGTCTCTGCCTCTCTCTCTCTCCCTCTCTCTCATGAATAAATAAATAAAATCTTAAAAGACACAGAGAGAGGCAGAGACACAGGCAGAGGGAAAAGCAGGCTCCATGCAGAGAACCTGATGTGGAACTCAATCCTGGTACTCTGGGATCACGCCCTGAGCAGAAGGCAGATGCTCAACCTCTGAGCCACCCATGCACCCAAATAAAATCTTAAAAAAAAAAGAAAGAAAGAAGGAAAGAAAGAAAGAAAGAAAGAAGAAAGAAAGAAAGAAAGAAAGAAAAGAAAGAAAGAGAAAGAAAGAAAGAAAGAAAGAAAGAAAGAAAGAAAGAAAGAAAGAAAGAAGAAAGAAAGAAAGAAAGAAAGAAAGAGAAAAAAAGAATGGTTCTGGGGCTCCTGGGAGGCACAGTAGGTTGAGCGTCTGACTCTCGGCTTCAGCTCAGATTATCATCTCAGAGCCTTGAACTCAGGGTCATCAGATTGAGCCCTGTCTGCTTAAGTTTCTGTCTCCCTCTGCCCCTCACCCCTGACTCTTGCACATGCTGTCTCTCTCTCTCTCTCTAAAATAAATAAATTAATCTTAAAAAAAAAGGACTGCTCTAAGCACTTTACATGTTTTAGTTCATTCATCTTCACAACCATTGTATGAGGGAGATACTATTACTATTCCCATTTTACAGAGGAGAAAATGGAGTCAAGTAACTTATCTAAGGTCATACATTGTTCACATGAAGTTTGTATTTTTATATTTAACAGAGCATTCAGTCACAAGGGGAATAGTGTGAACAATGTTGCAATAAAGCAAAAGGTACACATTTCGTCTTATATATTTCTATACTACTCAATATACATAACCTTCAAAATATAACAAAATCAAGGGTTTTTTAATTTATTAGTTTTTTAAGATTTTATTTATTTCTTTGAGAGAGAGCACAAGCAGAGGAGAGGGTCAGAGGGAGAGGGAGAACCAGGCTCCCTGCTGAGTGGGGATCCCAACGTGGGGCTCAATCCCAGGACCCTGGGCTCATGACCTGAGCTGAAGGCTGACATTTGAGCCACCCAGGTACCCCTCAAAATCAAGTTTTATGCCAATAGGCTGTAATTCTGTGAAACGTAGAGGCCAAATGGCATTCTGCTATGAAATAGCAACATCCTATGTTGCTGAAACAAGGGGAAAAAAAGTTAAAGTGTGGAAATTAGATAAATCTATTAATACAAATCAAAAGAAAGCAAGCTATAATGACTACATTAATATCAGACAAAGTAGATTTCACAGGAAGGAATATTACCAGAGGTAGATTGATAATGATGAGGTAATTTATCAAAATATATAAGAATTTTCAGTGTATGCTCCAAATAAAAGGTTTCAAAAAATGTGAAGCACCCAGAGCAATCAACACATTCAATGCAATCCGTATCAAAATACGATCAGCATTTTTCACGGAGCTGGAAAAAACAATCCTAAAACTTCTATGGAACCACAAGAGACTCTGAATAGCCAAGGAATGTTGAAAAGAAAATCAAAGCTGGAGACATCACAATTCTGGTCTTCAAGCTGTATTACAAAGCTGTGATCATCAGGACAGTACGGTATTGGCCCAGAAACAGACATGCAGAACAATGGAACAGAATAGAGAACCCAGAAACGGACCCTCAACTCTGTGGTCAACTAATCTTTGACAACGCAAGAAAGAATATCCAGTGGAAAAAAGTTTCTTCAAGAAATGGTGCTGGGAAAATTGGACAGCCACATGCAGAAGAATGAAACTGGACCACTTTCTTACACCATACACAAAAATAAACTCAAAATGGATGAAAGACCTAAATGTGAGACCAGAATCCATCAAAATCCTAGAGAACACTGGCAGCAACCTCTCCAACTTCAGCCGAAGCAACTTCTTGCTAGACATGTCTCCAAAGGCAAAGGAAACAAAAGCAAAAAAATGGAACTACTGGGACTTCAAGATAAAAAGCTTTTGCACAGCAAAAGCAAACAGATGACAAAACTAAAAGGCAACCTGTGGAATAGGAGAAGATATTCACAAATGTCTTATCAGATAAAGGGCTAGTGTCCAAAACCTATAAAGAACTTATCAAATTCAACACCCAAAAACCAAAAAATCCAGTCAAGAAATGGGCAGATAACATGAACAGCCATTTCTCCCAAGAAGACATACAAATGGCCAATACACATGAAAATATTCAACATCACTCAGCATCAGGAAAATACAAATCAAAACCACAATGAGATACCACCTCATACTGGTCAGAAGGCTAAAAAGTTAACAACTCAGGAAACAACAGACATTGGTGAGAATGCAGAGAAAGGGGAAACTTCTTACCAGTTTCCTTCTGGCCAGCTGGTACAGCTACTCTGGAAAACAGTACGCAGTTTCCTCAAACAGTTAAAAATAGAACTACCCTATCACCCAGCAGTAGCACTACTAAGTATTTATCCAAAAGATATAAACATACTGATTTGAAGGGGCACCTGCACCCCAATGTTTTTAGCAGCAATGCCCACAATGGCCAAACTATGGAAAGAGACCAGATGTCCATTCATTGACAGATGAATGGATAAAGAAGATGTGGCATATATATATATATATATATATATATATATATATATATATATAATGGAATATTACTCAGCCATCAAAAAGAATGAACTCTTGCCGTTTGCAAGGACATGGATGAAACTAGACAGTATGCTGAGCAAAATACGTCAGAGAAAGACAAATACCATATGATATCACTCGTATGTGGAATTTAAGAAACAAAATAGATGAACATAGGGGAAGAGAGGGAAAAATAAGATGAAAACAGAGACGGAGGCAAACCATAAGAAACTCTTAACTATAGGAAACAAACTGAAGGTTGCTGGAGGGATGGGGGTGAGGGAATTGGGTAACTGGGTGATGGGCATTAAGGAGGACACATGATGTAATGAGCACTAGGTGTTATATGCAACTGATGAATCACTAAATTCTACCCATGAAACTAATAATACAGTATATGTTAACTAAATTGAATTTAAATAAACATTTTTTTTAATAAAGTATATGGGGACGCCTGGGTGGCTCAGTGGTTGAGCGTCTGTCTTTGGCTCAGGGAATGATCCTGGAGTTCTGGGATCGAGTCCCACATTGGGCTCCCTGCATGGAGCCTGGTTCTCTCTCTCTCTCTCTCTCTCATAAATAAGTGAAATCTTTTTTAAAAAAATGAAAGCACAACAAACCAAATTCAGTATGCATAAATACAGACATGTAGCTAAAAACAGACTTAGAGGGAAATTTATAGCACTTACTGCTTATATTAGAAGGGAAGAAAGTCTTACAGTCAATGACCTTAGCTTCCTCCTTTAGAAACTAGAAAAATAAGAGCAAATTAAACCCAAAGTAAACAGAGAAAATAAGTAATAAATAGGAAAATCAAAGAAATAGTAAGTGAGAAAACAATAGAGAAAATCAATAAAACAAAAAGCTGGTTTTTTTGAGATCAATAGTACAACTGATTCTCATTTGCAGCAGTTATGTTCTATAAAATTACAGGGGACATTAGAGAATCCTGACCATTGCTGCTAGGGAAAATACTGGGTTAGGTTCCTACAAGCTTCTGGCCACAACATTTTTGTTAATGGATCAGTAATGGATTTGCTTTATATGTTCTTTGGGTAAAGACACCTTATTTAATTTATATTATTGATGCATGAACATGGGAGTCACGGCCAACAGCACTCTCACTCATGCCTGAACAAAGTTTATCTGACACATAAATTTTCTCCATAAGGCACAAGCACAGCCCTCTTGCATTCAGGAGCACTAAACAACTCTTTAGCACTTCACATGGGGACCATTTTAAACAGCAAAATCACCAAAAGAAAACACAAAAATGGCCCAAACCTGGCAACCTGGCACCACATAGGCAGCAGAAAGGACATTTGTTTACAGTATGAGAGCTGACTCATAGCGTCTCGTCATTCAACCTCAGATGGGAACTTGTGTGTTGGGCAACGCAAATTTTTCAATATTTGCACGTATTTTCCAATGACTGACAGCATTGCCAAGTATTGATTTGAGGGTTACAAATAAATTCCTTAGCAAGTAGGTGAATTCATAAATACAGAATCCATAAATGAGGATCAACTGTGCTGCTAAACCTTTAAAAGGCACAATATCAGAAATGATAAAGGGTCGCTGTTAGACTTTATTCAGGTAAAGGATAACAATATTAGCAACCTTGTGCATACAAGTTCCACCCCTTAGGTGAATGAAATACACAAATTTCTAAAAAGATAGAAGTTACCAAAGCTCACCCAAGAAGAAAAAGACAATCTGAATAGTTCCCTATCTATCAAAAAAGCTGAATTTGTAATTGAAAACCTTCCCTCAAAAAGAAAGAAAGAAGAAAGAAAGAAAGAAAGAAAGAACAAAGAAAACCTTCCCTCTCCCAAAAAAGAAAAATAAGAACACCTCCATGCCTAGATGGCTTCACCGATGATTTGTAGCAAATATTTAAGAAAAAAATAATACTAATTCTACACAAATTCTCTTCCAGAAAATAGTACAGAGAATCCTTTCCAACTTTTTTTGTAAGGTCAGTGTAGATCCCCAAATCTGAGAAACACATTACAAGAAGAAAAAAAAAAAAAAAAAGACATTACAAGAAGAAAAAACTAAACAGAGCAAACACGATGGAGCCCCACTTCGGGCTCCAGCTCATTGCAGAGTCAGCTTGAGATACACTCTATCCCTTTGTTATCTTGGCATAGGTAAGGAGTTCTTAAATGGGACATAAAACAAAAAAGAAGTCATCACTTGAGTCAAATACCACTTGTGTCCTGGGCTGGGACCAGCTAGGTAGCAGCTCCCTGTCTAACCAGCCCACGGCCCTCGGAAGGGGGCAACTTTGTCACTGCCCTAACCTCACTCAGCACACTGTCCCTTCCACATGCCTACTGCTAAGGCCAGCTCCACATCCCAGGCATCCCACCCCACACAGACAGACTCCAAAGATGCCACTAAGTTTGGATTTTGTCCTCCCTGCCCCCTCCAAATCCCCCCTCATTGCTGTACAAGGTACTGGGAGTGAAACTCAGTGGTCCCTCTCGGCAGGCAGTAAATGGCTCCACTGTGCTCAGCTGTCTCCACTCACGGCCTTGAAGTCTTTAAACAATGGACACAGCCTTCTAGAGATTCTAGAGGTGAGATGGAATTCTTCCTACAGGGTG